CCGCCTTCGCCTCCCGCCGTCGCCCCCGCGAGCCCAGGTGGCGTTGGCGGGAGCGGCGCGCGGGTGGTCGCTCGCGCCGCCGCCTCACGGCAGAGGGCGGGGAGCGACGGGCGCCGCGGGAGGGTCTGAGGGCGCCGCCTTAGACCCGCGGGGGGCTGGGGAGGAGCGATCGCAGGAGGCGCCTGTCCCCGCCACCCGGTGACAGGGTCGAAGGCCGGCCGCCGGTGTTCGGCCACCGCGGGGCGGCCACGTCGTGCGGGGCCCGCTGGGCAGCTGCTGAGTGAGCGACACGTCTGCGTGCGCTGGGCTCCGGGGCGGGTGACGCTGGGCCGCTCTGTGGGGCGGAGGCGGCTCAGGGGGCTGCTTGGTGCACTCCCCTGCTTAGGATGAATGTACTCTTCCATTTCTGGAAACGGGGTGCTTGCCGCCATAGGGCTGGTGCACTAGGATCACCTGCCGTGCTGTGAAATGTATCACTGGCAGCACATAGATGGCTCTCGTATTCCTCGTTACGTACTAGCCGTGCTGCTCGGGAGTGAGATTGCTCAGTTACGTGAGGAGAAAGACTTCTTAAAGGTTTTATTTCCAGGGGTTAGAGATGGTGCGTGGAGCTTGGCTCAGGAGGAGGACAGCTGCTGAGAAGTCAAAGATCTGGAAGCAGAATGAAGCCCTTGTGCTCCTCTCACTTCGTCAACGTGTTCCGAAGCAGCACGGACCATCCATCTCATCGGATGATACAGAAGAGCCACTCTATGGGTGTGTAACAGGGCTCAGGCAATGTAAGCCTGGCTCAGCGACTCTCCCTGCGGCTGGAATGTGGTGCAGGGGGTACTTCGGACTTGAGAAACGCTGTTACTCCATGTAACTCCGGGGTGCTGAAGCATCCCTGCCCTATACCAGCTTTGGGAGTAATTCACAATCATGTAACTCGCTTGGAAAACTCAAATGTTTTCACAAAGCTGGGAAGACAGCGCAGGGGACTAAACCCAGTGGGAAACAACATTAAGGATATTTGGCATTTTCATGAAGGCCCGAGTTTTCAACACCCTTTGTAATGATTAGGTGTTTAATCTTCTGCCCTCTGAGCCAGTTCAGTAATGACTACCTCTGTGAGGAAACAGGATAAAGTTCTTGCTAGTTAAAGACCTGCAATTAAAATACTTATCACTATTCTTAACCTAGCTGGCTCTATTTATTACATGTCTAAGTAAACACTATTAAGAAAGTCCTTTATCTGAACAAGTCACAGCTTGATTGTGGTTAACAACAGTTTTTATTACAGAATTATAACATATTTAATTGTCTGGGCACAGCTGTGGTGCACATCAGAAAAAGACAGTCACAGTCTTATCTCTGGATTTCCTTCCCCCTTAAGTTTAATACAGATTTTACCACATCATCTTAATGTGTTCTCTTAGCTTCCTTTGTATTTCAGTGATGGGTTCACAGAACAAAAACAAGTGGTAAGAAATGTGAAGTACTTTTACCCATCTTTCTAGAAAGATCTTGCCCCTAAAATCACCCAGAATGGCTTAATCATTCTACATGTTTCTTTGAAAACCTGTGGTTTCCCACTGCATGAATGTGGTGGTGTGTTAAATCCTGGCAGGAATACTTTAAAAAAATCAGTGTGGCAACTCCAACCATTCCTTCTAATCTTCATTTTTTCTGTTCTGGATGCCTTCTTAAGAGATTATATTGCTACCTGGGCTTGGCTGGGACACCTTGGCTTAGTTCTGTGAGCCGTGGTGGCTATTTTTGATCCCCAGATAAGAGCTGGAAACCAAGAGGAATTTCAGGAACCCGCTCTAAGGAAATGAAATAATTTGAAAGACCATGTTTATAAGAGTTGTTCTTGAAAGAATCTAAACGCTAGAAAATAGACAAACACTAAATAAATCTAGATTAGGCCATTTCCAAACCTCTCAAATGCTGTTACAGTGCTGTTAGCTTGACCTGCCAAAGAAATGCCAGAAAAGTTTCTCCTCTGTGACTTTTCCCAGTTTTTTCCTTGCCTGACTGGTTTGCCGAGACAAGAAGTCTGTCCCTGTACAGTGTAAGAGTTACACAACTGATAAATGGTCTCCAAAAGTCTCTCAGCATTGCTATGCTGCTTATGCTGTTCTTTACCAGTGCTTCTCTGTGGTTATTTAGGTGTGAACAGCTTTTATTTTGATCTGATTGACAGCCAGCTGTCGTAGATCCTGATCCATTATTTGGTAGCTCGGATATAGCTAATGTATATAATTGCAGGTGTCAGGGGAGTAATTGCAGCAATGTAATTAAAGGAGTGAAAGTTGGGCACTGTGGGTTATCTGTGGGCAGAAATCCTCAGAATGTTTCGAATTTTGAAACCCACATGCAGCTGGTTCATTCACATGGATTTGATCTGAAGAGCAAACACAATAGTAATAACGTTTACATATGACAGTTTCCCATAAAGTGCTTAGTAAGCCCTGAAAAAATGTATGAAAGAAGTTTCTAATTACAGATGTTATAGCTTTGGATGTTCTTGAGTAATTACTTAATTTTACAGGTGATTTTTTTTTCCCTGAGAAAATTCAAAGTGTACCTAGAAAGTGAATAAATCATCACTGCATTCACATGCAGTCTCACCTTGTTCTGCTTCCTCATCTTCTGGATAACTGATCCAGTAGGAGGTGAATGCCTTGACTCAGAGTGATGCTGTTCACTTTTACTTTTCAAACACTGCTTATTACAGCCTCTGGAAAGAAGACAACTCAGGGAAGAGCACAAGGAGAGCCCGGCTTTAAGGACAGAAATTGAACTCTGATGCCAACTGCTCTCATGGCAGAGGCCTATTTTCCATTGATTTTGAAGCTGAAGAGACATCTCTTATCGTGCAGAGACAGGCTACGTTCAGGATGGATTAGGAGGTGGACTGTGTGTGAAGGAATGCAGGGATTTCTGAGTAAATTTGGAGTCACAGAACAATCAATCAGCTCCATTGATCTGAAGTATTTTTAAACCCGGCTTTAATGTATGGGATGCACTGACAATTTTGTTTTAAGCTGATACAGCTTGAAAACACTGATGAGGTCAATGCAATGCTTGCTGTCTTATTTCAGGATAGTACCTGCCTGAGTTCCTTTGCCCACATTTATTTCAAGTTCTACACGTAGACCTATGAAAAATCATTTAATATCATGTCTTATAATGAAGGACTGCTGAATTGTTCAGGAATTTCATTTAAAAAATTGAAAATGAAGCAACAGTCACATAACAAAATTCAGATCACCAACAGTCACATAACAAAATTCAGATCACCAACAGTCACATAACAAAATTCATTTTGGCCCACTGTGGAGGTTTGGGTTAGGAGAGAGTTAATATTCTTCAGACTTACTGGTCTGGGGCTCAGTTTTTCACTGGTAAAAAATCAACTTATTTCTTGGTCTTTACAAATGGTGTTTTTCATTTTAACTCTCTCTTGGAGTTATCCTTGTAAAATGCTATTGTGTTTGCATGTGCGTACTGTTTCATAGGATCAAAGTGAAGGAGCCTGTGTCTCAAGCCAACACCCATTTTTTTTAGCCCTATCTGTTACAGTGTTGGTTTTTCCTGGAGAGATCGGCTTCTGTAAAGGGCAAAAGCCATTTGAGCTTACACAGAAGTTTATGGCCTCTCTTCCATCTCAAAGTCCTCCTCATTATCAAGGAGGGAGAATGGTAAATACACAGCCAAGTGTAAATGTGTCATAGTAGTGACCTATATATTTTAAATAGGCACCATTCATACAGTTGGGTGCCTTTGCTTTTGTGTGGTGTCATAATCTAGAACTGCATCATTCACACATGATGGCAAATAGATTGAGTTGTCATGATAATTAGACTTCTTTATTGGACAAATTGTGTCAGGGTTCAAAGTCACCAAAAGTCAGTCTGTCCTTGTTGTCCTTGTCTTTTTTTTTTTTTTTTTCCCCCTCCTTTTTGAGAGGAGTGTGTGTGAAAACTGCACATGTGCGGCTCCTGTTCTTTGGCAAGCAGTCCTAGCAAGGAGTAAATTGCTGAAGTCCTCTGTGGCAAAGTCCGTGTTTATTTCAGTGTTTGCCCTTTGTATTTTTCCATTTTTGATGAAGAAAGGGGAGGAAGTTGAGGAACACAGTCAGGTTTTGTGTATCAGGTAGGCTCATTCACATCAGCAGCTCATCAGTAGCCTTTGCCATTTTTCAATAAATACTACCTACAAACTTACTGCCCAGCCAGAATTTTGATTGGTTTGATTAATAAGGTGAATTTTTCTGGGTAATTTCTATTATTAGGATTCACATTCACTGGTACATTGTCCTCTCACCAGAGTCTACAAAACCTTTTTACTGTCTGAGGACATTCCTGTACTGGAACACACCACCTTTTCATTTCTTAGACAGCACAGCCTTTGTGTTACAGTTTGTAAACAGGGCCCTTTATCAGGGAGAAGTCTGACAACATTTTTCTTTGAAATCTCAGATCAACAAATCCTCTTTCTCCGGTTTTGCAGGTGCTCAGAGAATGGAAGGGCCACTTAGGAGGCTGAGCAAAGCCTTTGCTAAAGGCAGCAAGGAAGTGTATCTCATTCCCAGTGACATTGCTGTGGAGATGCACAAGAGGAACACCAAATTCCAAACTTGCAGCAGGTACTGCAGGAACAAAGTGTAAACTCTGACAATGGCATGAGGAAAAATGAGGGAAGAAGGCACTTGCTAGAAGGGCATCAAAGACTTTCCAGCATCTAAAGTTTATGTGCAGATATGAATTCTGTAAAGACTAATTACAAGGTCCCTGAGCAATAACTTGTGTAGTGTAGCACATAAAAGTTATGACAGTGCATTTATAGAGTTTATTTTCACACATTTCACTTTAGCTTTGGTCTGCCAAACTCCACTAGGTAGTAAAAACCAGGGTTTTGTCAGCTGACAGGTTTGATGGCCTTGTTCTTAAACATTTCATTTAAAATGTTTTTAGTATTAATTAAGTTGTTTGTTTAGACATTTTTGTTCACTTAATCATAAAGAAATGGCCATCATGCCATTTTCAGAATTTTTGAAGACAATTAAAGCAACTAACATCTAAGATCAGCTATAACAGCATTCTGTGCTCACAGAAAAGCACACACCAGGATTTATGTTTAATTTGACATGCCATCTATAAAAGCAATCAACCCTATGGAAACCTTACAATCATTCTGGCACTATACAGCTGAAATTTATGGCCATCTAACCTAAAGCTTGTTAAAGAATAAGCACCACAGGCCTCTATAAAGCCTCATAACATACAGGCATGGTGGTTCCAAACCATTTTTCTAGCACCAAACCACCCTCTCTGTCAGCCATAAACTGCTCCCTAAACTGGCATCATCTGAATACATGTAGTCATTCTAATTTTAGTGTTCCTGATTTCTTTTCAAAAGCATGGATGCTTCCCAAAAGTGTGAGTCAGCTCAAACCGACTCCTAGCAAAAAGTTTACAAGATCCAGACCTTGTCAGAGTCCTCACTTTCAGTCCTCAAGGGAAGGTGCAAAGTGAAGTAGGCTACAAACAAGTGTAAACTGTTGATAGCATGAAAGGACGCGTTGTCCTGCCTGCCAAATCCGTGTTCTGTTTCAGCAGTGGCTGAGACAATAGCTGATTTTTCTCTGCAGGTCTCACATTGTCTGGGACTTGCTCCTAAAATAATGTCAGAAGAAGGTAGGTGAGGTTGACCCAGGTATGTTAACAACTGCTAATTCACTGCAAGCAATGCCACTGGTTCTGAGCAAAGCTCCAGTTTGTTCTTTCAGTGCTTGACACTGGAAAATAGTGCTGTTGACATAGGTGTCACCAAATTCCTCAAGACATTCAGAACTGGACTTATAGTTCTTCTAGTGTTAAAACCTCTGGGGGGAAAAATTAAGTCCAACTTTTTCTGGGGGGGAGTACTTCCCATGGGAGCTGGTGTATACAAACCTTATTTGAGAAGAGACAACCATGTCCTTTTGGGAGTAATCTAGATCCTGTGATGAGAGGAGTGTAATTATGTGCATATAATAAATACATTAAGTATTTAATATTTAAATATTTGAATATTTGAAGGACATCTGGAAAGAAGAAGGAGAACATAATTTTTTTGTTTTGTTTTCTTGACTGTATTTGTTAGTCTGAGAATATTCGAGGCTATATTGAGAGTTTCTAATTCACAAGTGAGGTACACTAAACACCTTGCAGATCATTGGTTATTAAAACCTTTTTGCAAGTAAGTAAATAATACTAAGAAATTAAAATAGGAGCCCTTGTCCTGTGTACTGCACTCACCTAGCAGGCTTGTGTGTGACTAATGAAAATACAAGACACTGGAAAAACAAGCTTAGTGTGTGTATATCCATCTGTTATCTCTGTACCCCTATGTCTTCTTTTGATTTTGAATAATGACCAAGACTAGGCTGAAACTGAGTGAGAAATCCATGTTCCAAAGAGGCAATGCAATATTTTAATTTAACAATCAGATTGTTAGAATTGGAAGCTGGACAGACATTAGGCAGAAACAGCCTGGAGAGAGTCAGAGAGGTTGTCTTTAACTCAGGTAAGGATTTGGGAACTTTGCTGTGAAAATCTGAGTTTGATGCAGACTTGAAGTACTCTCAAAGCCTGAACTTTTCCTCCAATGGTAACAGCAACCATGTACTTGTAGTAATTTGTGCTGAAAAGGGATTCAGGTATGCAGAGGTACATAGGAGAGCTCAGACACAGCATAAAGCCTGTGCAGGACTTTGAGATGTTGGAAGTCAGAGTAACCTGTTTCCTCTATTCCAGTGCTGTTTGTGACTGCAAAGAGGTGAAAAGTAACCCAAAACAACACATGAGTTTGTCGCCAGTGGTGCAGATACACTGCCAGTCCAACATCTTTACTGCAGAGGGATGTTACAGCTTTGTTGTGTGTGAGTTAATTTCTGTACAGATTATAAAGGTACAAAATATGTACACTGGTGTGATGAAAGGGATATTGGTACTCTCTGGAGATCATAATTTTCCCTACTTGAAGAACCATTATGCTATAGTAGACTCATTCCACAAAGTAATTGTCAGGGAGATTTCAAAAATTTTTTCTGTATTCTTTATTTGTGACCATCATAAAGTAATTAAAACTCAATTAATATATAGAAGAAAATAAAGCAAGGTAAGGCTGTGATTCTGCAGTAAGTCATATAAAATTTGTGAATGTGGGATTTCCTGGCAGTTGAAATTTGATCTTTATTGGTGTGAGCACACGACTGCATTTTTACCAAATGAGCCAGAGCATATGTTACATTGTTTATTCAGGGTTTATGCCAGCTTTCTGTCAGTTGAGCTGAATAAATTATGCTTGATCCAGCACAAAGTTAGAATGGTCCAAACAGACAGTGTCTCATCTGATAGGACCTCTCCTGGGACAAAATTATTTCTTCAAGCTATTTACAATCACACAGAATGATAACCTACCACTCTAATATGCTATAAACTTTGCATAAACCTTAGAAAAATCTGTTTCAAGTCAAAGCATGTCTATAGCTAATTAGCTGTAAGTAGACTGACAATTTTTTTCCTCAGAGGGAAAGAAGGGGAAAATCACAAATTCACATTATATTTTA